TAGAATTTCTATGTGCTTTTTGCTACTACCAAATTTGTGTGCACAATGCAAGCAGCCAGAATAATATTCAGAGCCAATGCAGCCGCAAAAAAACAGCTAAAAATAATGACTACCCGGCATCAAAAATTTAATTAACAACTAATTTACATGAATTTCACTACTGCTGAAAGTTCCCAGGCATGCAATACGCCAACTTTTTATATGCACAACAGGGGGAATGACAAAAACCTGACTTTACACTTTGTACAGCAAAGTTTCAGCAAAACAAAATCGAAAAATTAAAAAAAAAGGCCACGAAAGGACCGCAACATGAGAATAAAATACGATACAGTTATCTTACCCCATCCAATACCATCCCTAAGCAAAAAATTCTATACAACAATAAGAAGAGATGGAACCTTGATAAAAAATGATACCCCAATCCTGAAATGTTATTACCACGAAACCGCACATTTAAAGCACGTTCATGTTTGAAACTCCTTCCTGCTTTTATGATCCAGTTTAATTACTTCTACTAATTTCTTAATACTATCTTCTCTTCTGTTCTTCCTACTTCAAAATACTTTTCTATTAAGTTCGTAAGTTTGCCTTTCAGTGCCCTCTTTTTCAGCCCTAATCATAAATTAGAATTACCTTGATAAATATTGACTCCCCCTGGCCGATATTAACTCCCTTTCCACCTAAACCACAGGTACTCGACGACTGCAACAAGTCCTAGAAAATCTGAGAGGGTGGATTGTCTAGTTGCACATGTTAGCGCACTTATGCATGCTGAAAGCTGTACGGGTTACTTACGTAAGCTTGAGTGTTTTGATAAAAAGCCACCGTAAATGGAAACTTACTTTTTCATGCGCTATGGAGCAAGCTTCGGCGAGATTTTCAAACAGACTCGCTTTTTCAGCATCCGTCACCAGTTTAGCTTCAATTTTGTTGGCTTGTAGGAACTGTTTCACTGCATCACGATTCTTCGAAGCCTTAAGAACACTGACCTTACACTACCAAAGTCTTTTTTAGTTCAAAACGAAGAACGAAAGTGCGCAAGCAGGGTAGGGCTGTTCAAGCATCACCAGCCAGCAGCCTCATCATCACGGGTGCTGTGTTTTTGTTCTTATCAAACACACAGCACCCGAGACGATGGGCAGTGCGTCGGGAAAGACAAACGAAGAAAGAAAAAAAAAGGGACCATTCCGAAGCGAAATCGGAATAAATCCACTTCTTGCTGTATGAACCACTTGGTTTGCTCCGGCTTTTGAGAGAACGCAAGTCGAAGTATGAAGTGGGATATGATGTCGCGCTGACGCTCGGCTTCCAGCTGCTCCTGTGGACAGCAACCGCAAGCAATCGGCATTAATTTGATCAACTCCTGAAAAACCTCATTCGAAACAAATAAAAAAGCAAACAGGCACACATACATTAGACAACCTAAAACTCAAGAACAGATATCTTATGGTAAGCATCAAACAAGCACTGGCGCATTCAGCCTTTCAAAAAAGAGAACAAGGGGGGAGGGGGG